TGGTAATTAGGAATTATTCACCAATAGATGGAAAAATAATGAAAAGTTTTAGTATTCTAGTAAAAATTTATCCAAATAGTTTAATGTCAAATCATTTAAATGATCGATTAATTGGATTTGAAATTCAAGCAAGAGGTCCATTTGATATTGGTGATAGAATATTGTCAACTAATCCTATTACTACTACAATATCACCACCATTAACTGTAAAAACAACAAACTCAACAAAATCTCTTCAACATCATCAACAACTGCAACAATCTCCTATTGAAATGGAATCACTTTCATTCAATAATAATAATAATAATAATAATAATAATAACAGTAATAACAATAATAATAGATTATCTAAAAATTATAATAGATTATCAAGTTATTTAGTTCCAATTACACCAACAGTTGCTACTTTACTATCCTCACCAATAATCAATAGAACTTATTTATTAAATAATAATAATGATGGTAATAATAAATGTTGGGATAATTTATATATGATATGTGGAGGAACTGGAATTACACCAATGATTCAGGTAATGAATATGTTTTTAATTAATTCAAGCATTAATTTGGTAAAATTTTTTTCTAATTAATTAATTTTTTTTTTAGTTGATAAAATTTCATTTAAAACATTATAATTTTAACAATAATAAAAGTAAATTATCAATGCATTTAATATATGCCAATAAATCTGTTGATGATTCAATAGTAAATTTAAAAGATTTCTATTATCATTCATTTAATAACAATAACACTAATGATAACACAAATATTGATGATGTATTGTCAATTACATATATATTTGATAAATTACCTGATGACTTTTCTGCCAGTGATACTGGAGAGGGAGAGGAAGAATTACAAAGGATAAAAAAATCAGGGTTGGAAGGAAAAATTGATAAGGATATTTTAGAAAGTTGGTTCAAAGGTGGAGAAGAGACGTCTTCATCAACTTCATCAATTCCATCACCTTCACCAGCAGCAGCAGTAAAAGCATCATCATCTGTTCAACCAACCTCATCGAATAGAAAAATTTTTAATACACTCCCAAAATTAAACACCAACATTCACAATAATAATAATAATAATGATAATAATTTACAAAAAGTTCGGATGGAAGGAAGATTTAATTTCATAAGTAGTAGACCTAATAGTAAAATTTTTGTGTGTGGACCTAATAGTATGATGATTTCAATTGATCAAATATTACATGATATGAATTTTAATGAAAATGATTATATTCTATTAACATGATTGTATTTGGGATTTGAAATTACAAAAAAAAAGAAAAAAAATATATATGTACATTAATTTGTCACTGGGAGAATTAAAACTTTCTTACCTGTAACTTTCACCTTTGAATTCTGATGTGTAAAAAATTTTTTAATTTTTCCCATCTTTTATTTAAAATATTATATGGGGCATACTGCAACAAAACCAGACAAAGTGAACATTTGTATTACAAAGATCAAAATTTAGAGTAATTGGTAATAATATTACCCTACAATTATTTAACATTTCAACTAACAAACAGTAAGAATACTTTATTTACAAAATTTCGAAGGAAAAAAGCATGTCATAGTTATGTGGTATTAAAATTGCATTTTTAGCATATAACAGATCCCTCTAATTAAATGAAATATATATTTTGATTTTGTGATCAATGAAATTTTTTAATTTTGGATTGCGATACAGGTGTTGAATTAGTTATGGTGACAAAATCCATCAATTTTTGCATGTTATTATTTGATCTCTCTGCAAAAGGTTTCACTTTTCTGTTAAGAACACGGACAGTTTTGACAAGTGAATCTCGAATACCCAAACAAACTGCCAATGCATGTTTTAAAAAACTAAATTCACTAAACTCTGTGGGGATTTCAAATGTTCCAAACAAGTTAATAATATAGGCTCCGTGAATAAGTTTCATTGTATAAACATTAATTACAAATCCTGAAATATGTGAAAAGTTTAATAAAATAAAACCATTTAACCAAGTTCAAGTAATTCAAATGTGAAATGAACATTTACCACTAGAATGGACTCCAATTATCATGATATCATCTTCATAAAAATCTCCACGACCCAAAGCGGTCTCTTTGCATATTACATAATTTAAACAATCCTTCATTTCTCTTTTTAATTTATAAAGGTCTGATGAATCTTTAACAACACTTTTGTTCCATGGCCCATATGAAACTTCCAAAATACCCAGTTCATATAATTTGCTCGATTTCCAATATATAATTCCATCTGCTTTGTGTCCATTATCCATGGTATCTAAGAAAAAATTTTGGTTGATATTTTTACGTTCTATTGTACTCTGTAAATAAATTTCTCCCCTAGTTTGAAATGTATCCAATTAACCTAATTGTAATAAAAGGAAAAAAAACAAATAGAAAAAACCAAAAATAAAAACTTGTAATTATACCACATATACTTCAAAACATTACTACTTCTAATAGCACCTCCAAGAATTGGATCAATGAATGTTCCATTATACATGGATTCATTGATTGTTCGATCATTAATGTACTGACTCCCATTTTCGAATTCAAGCAAACTAAATTCAAAAAAAGAAAATAATATTATTAAATAAATTAATTAAAAAAATTTAGAATGAGTAAAGATACACTTACAAAACATGAATCACATCCAATGCATATTTTAAATTGAGATACTTTTCATCCTTATACTGCGGAAATTTTGAAAACATCTTTATAATGAGTGAACTCCATTCTTCACGAGCACTCTCTATGTTTAATGCCTATTTTTAAACATGCTTAATTAGTATCAGGACAATTATTATTCAATGAAAGTTTTTTATACATACATTAAAGATTGGATCAAGATCTTTAAGATCAAAATCTTGCTGGTCACACAAGCCATTTGATAGATCAAGTATATTATCATGGCTTAAACTGTTAAGAGAATTTATGTACAAAAATTCACTTTAAAGCCTGCACAACACTAAATCCAACATATATAAAAAAAACATACTCATATGGATCATCAAGAGAAGAAAGTTTGTAATCCGTTAACACAATGTTAATACCATCATCATCTAAATTATTACCAGCGGCATCACCTATAGAATTGTTCTCTTGCTCCTCCGAATCATTTTTCTTAATACATTAACTCAATTTAACTTATAGTTTCTTTTTAAATATAACACAAATAAATAGCAAACCTTTTGTTTTTTTCTTTCAGTGGTAGTTGTGAAGTTTGACTGGCATCCTTCTCTTAAAATTGACATTGTTTCCTCTGATACATTTGAACGTATATTTTTTGACTCCTTATTCACAGCACACAAAGCACTCTTTGCATATTTTATCTATTTAATGTATTTAATTTATTTCTTAACTTGTCAAACCACAAAATTACATATATATATCATCTTACCAACCTTAGAGATTTCAATTTTGTGCTCATACTTTTTTCTCACAACTGATGCCCAGAAAGAATTAACAGCTGGTGAATTTTTTTCGGCCTAATAATGATATAAAATCGTCACATACATCACATAAAGTCAATCTAACAAATTTGTATAAAATACATAAAATATCTGATGCGGACGGACTATGACAAGGCACGTAGCCCGCAACTCTAATAGTACGTAACCATCAGTTGTGTCATAGCAATAGCACGTAGCCTATCCAGGGACACTCAAAGGAGGACGTACCCCACAGTCACCAATCTAATGCGTAATCAGTTGGCTATTCAAGTTTTGTCAACACCGACAGAGCGTATCATGTGCATGTGTTCTAGTCCTTGGATCCATCCACATCAGGAATCTTACCTTGAGATTATCAATACACTTTTTAGCTTTGGCTCGTTGTTTTGTATTGTAGTAATTAGCGATGTAATCAAGGTTCTTACGATAGGATAAATGTTCATTATTTCTGTTAGCCAAGAAGTCTTCACGATTCACTCTATATCTCAAGTAACCAATCAAGGTCCAACTTTCATTTTCTTTAAAGTATTCGTTAGAAATTAGCATTGTATTGGATGTATAAAATGATTATTATGAAAAAGCCGTTATTGACCCGCGTAAACATAATAATAACAATGCAGATCAAATGTAACGGTACACGAAAATTTTTAAAAAAATTTCCCATTTCTCGTGTAGCAAGCAATTTTTAACCTTAATAAAAGTTTTAGAACTTCCCAATGGCAATTAAAAAAAGAGACTAGCTTAAATATTAGTAGTTCTATATTAGGCTGAAAATGCTTCCTTTTTACGCACTTATTTTAAGATTTTTATCCAACCAGAGTGAAAAATAAAGCAAATTTAACAGCAAAAGAAGCACTACTGAATCTAATATCTATCATGTTAAAACCACTGTCTCTGACTTAAAAGATGAAGATTTTGTCAAAGCTGCTGATGAATGTAAAAACAATATTTCAAGGAATAAAGAAAATTATGATGATAAATCTATTTGATGATGAATAACTTTTTTAGGTCTTACAATTGTTATGATTTATGTTTTTAAAAGAACTAAAAAAAAAATAGATCAATATGTAATAATAAGATTATTTTTCTTCCAAAAGTCTCTGCTTTTTGTTAAGTAATAGCACACCTTTACTCTGCTTTCTTTTTCTAACATTTATTATTTTCCTTTCTTCTTGGTAAATCTCATAGGTAATCTTTTCTTTTCTTAGATAAGTTTCAGTGTCTGAGTATTATTTATTTTGAAAACATAAGGTGCAATTTTTTCACCTTGTTCCTTTTTTAAAATACTTCTGATAGTACTATAATTCTTGGGTTCCATAGTAGATCTGATGTAAATGAGTTTCTAACTATTTTTATATAGGGATAGTTTTATATATCACTTGATAACAAATGGGATATTATAAACTGTTAATTATTATCACATTACAAATGACAAATTTTGATCCCTGAAATCCTTGGTAATACCAATGTTCACTTTGTTTGGTTTTGTTGCAGCATGCCCCATATACAATATATTAAACAATTAAAATCTAGGTTTTTCCTTTATTAAAACCTAGCAAATGTAATGTGCAAATTGAATAATAAAAACAAATAAAATTTAAATTAATAATTATGGAATTTTTTTTGGATGCTTCTATTTTAAAAATTTATTCAAAAAAGAATAAATTATATAGTAAAAAAAAATCATTACAATCATAATTTACTTGAGATCTAAGGCTCCCTATTGCATCAGGAAGGAATACTACCAATTGATTGATGAGTCATGAATTTATAATCACGAAGAATTCATTTGTCTATTTATTGTGTTTTAACTTTACAAAGTGAATTTCGATTTAGCGGATTTTGATTTAATGGATGTCTAATTAAAATCTCAATTTAATGGATTGAAGTTCAGAATGAGTATATAGAGATTCAGTACTGTACTCTTTTGCATTCCTGTACTGTATGATCTACAAAAATAGAAAATTTTTTAAAAAAATCACACACCAACATACAGTACATAGCACCCCCACCAATCAAATGGATTCTGTACTTGTAACATTTAATACAGAAATGCTAATTTTAGATCATACAGTACAGGAATACAAAAGAGTACAGTACTGAATGTCTACTGACTGGTTCAGAACTAGCATAGTAGAATTTTGTTGTTACACGAAATTTTATACAGAGCTCATTGCTCCCAAAACTTCACCAGTATATAGTAGTTACCTCTCTAAATTGGATATCAAGCTCAGATCCAATTCAAATACAGTTTATCACTTTTATTGCCAGAATGTTTGCCGGGTTACATTGCACAATAAAAAAATTTAGTGTAACATTTCAAATTTCCACTATGCTCTCAGAACTGGGCAGCATTTTTATATAGTAAATTTTCTCGATATAATGGATGTCCTAATTAGATCTCGATTTAACGAATTTTTGAAAAATTTTCACGAAGTGGCCAAAATTTTGATTATTACAATTACTCGTTGGAGCTTTATAATTATGAGTAAATAGATAATATAAAAAAATGATTTGAAAAAATTCAAGTGGTGTTCTTAGGATTATGTATGAAAATATACCACGAATAGATGAAGATCGAATAATTAATATACAGAAAAAAGAACGGGAGGGATCTTTCCAAATTTGGAATTCCCTGTAAAAAATTTACTCCGTGATTAGTCTGTGTTTTTTCCGTTATTAAACTCGATGTTTTTTCCATTTATTATTACATTAATAAATATATATTTCCGTATTTTTTCCATAATAATAAATATAAATGTATCATATTCACGGAATCTATAGTTCCGTTTTTCATTAAAAGTGGAGGTTTCACTGAATACAGTAATTAATAAAATGATAAATCTCGGATAAATGACTGAGCATTTACTGAGTAAATCAATTAATAAAATGGGTAAAACTCGGATAAATTTAATTAATAAATAAATTTTCAAGTAGTCTACTAAAGCAGTCAGTAGAGATTCCGCACAACTTTCAATTCCGTACACTATTACTATTCCTTTTTATTCCGTACACTTTTTATTTTTTAATTTTTGTACGGAATTTGAAAAGTTGATTGGTGGGCCAGTCTGTACGATCTTTGATTCCATATTTGTTCCATACAGAGCGCGATTTATTACAGAGGCGCAGATGTACAGAATATGGAACCTGTATAGACTCTACTAAAGATGGCTCCTCAGTTAATTGAGACTAGTTGCAGCACATGAAAATTGGATTGCAGTTGCAGTTGTGGCATATGAAAATTTAATTGCAGCTAGTTGTGGTTCCATCTTTAAATGTTACTAACATGATAAAATAATAAATTTTTGAAAGATTATGGATTAGTAATGTGCATACAGCAACACGAAAATTTGTATGTGGTACATCATAGTGATATCAGCCGTTAAAAAAACCTTAGCCGGCTAAGCCGGCTAGCCGTCAAGCCACTATAAAATTTTTTATCTT